GCTGCAACTGCAAAAATAGTAGTCAAGTACACTTCGGATGAAATAAAGTCCAAATTAATATTTTTTAAAGGGGAATGGCAACCAACTTTTTTTTTCATTACCAACAAATATTTAAGATATTTATTAAAGAATGAATTTTATATGACATCATAATTCTCTACAGAACTCTCCTTTGAATCAATTTGAATATAAATAAAATTGAAGAAAGGAAGCCATCTTTAATTGAAAAACAAGCTATTATGGAAATATGCATGACGTCACAACAGGCATAAATTGTTTTAGGAACTTAAAAAAAGTGAATTTTTTTGTCGGGATTTTTTTTCATTGCTGCTATTAAAGCAATAATCTGGACAATACATGGCTATATGTTAACATGTATACACAAGACTTGTATTTGCCAAGGAACGCTAACCCTGTTGTGACATCATTTTGCTAAAACATGAAGAAATTAGGATAATAAAAATCTTTACACGATGACAACAAACACACTATGATTTAAATGAAAAAAGAGATGAATCTTTCCACACAAAAGACAGCAATGACAAATTTTTGGGTTTTTTTTCATATTTAGGGGTAATGTACTGTAATAATTATAAAAAATATTGCCATTTCCTTTAATTAAATGGAGTTTTAAATGAAACACATACCATATGCCATTTTCAGTTCCATATGAGTTTTGAACAGCTTTGGCAATTTTTTTGAAATACACAGTTAAAGTTAACCAAGCCCACAGACGCAGTAATACAAATTCATTGAACTTCAGTCACAAGTCCCTGGAATGAAAAGTACAATGGTAAACAAAAATCATAAGATGAAATATTTTCATTATATAATCATTAACTAATTACTTGACAACGAAAATATTTTTTTACACAAGCAATAAATATGCCATAGTTTAAAAAAGGCAATTGAATTATTATGTTTTATACTGACAAATCTGTACCTGAATTAGTGAATTTGTGTGAAATTAGATATGAACCAAATAAATGAATTAAATAATTGTTCTCACTCAAGAATTGCTACACACCTATCTTTTTCATTTCAATCCTTAAATTTTACAACATTGTTAAGTGTTTCATCTTGTTCAACATTTTCTCATAAACTATAAATCTCTTTGCAAAATAAACTTGTTGAGGAATGTGATAATCTTTCATGTAAATTGCTTTCTCCCAAGTTGTTTGAGAATGCATGCCAGATGTTGAAAATTTGAATTTGTCCATATGTAAATATGGAAAATGTGTTCAAAAGGATTTGCACCTACCTTTGTTAGTACTTGATAAGATTTACAAAAAGACAATGCTGTGTCCACAACCAATTTTTCTTCATCAGTATTCTTAATCCAAAATAGTAAATTCTGAGACTCCAGGTAGAGTTCTGTTCAGTGTCATTAGAATCCATCCAATTTTGGGAAGGGCTTATCGCTTGAAAAAAATATCCTTCCAACATAATTCCTTTGTACTTGATTTGATACTCTTCAGTCTTCATTCATTAAACTTGAAGCATAATCCTAGGCATTGAAAATTTTATTGGTGTCATGAAGACAATGAACTTGAATAAACTGTTCTGTTTTTCTTGTTTTGAGAATCAAGCTTAAATGAACACATACCATTTCATGCTCAATGCACCATTTTGAGATAATTTATACCAAAAGTAACATGTAAGTTTTTCATTTCTATTAATAAAGTTGCACATGAAATGCCTGCGTATCATTCCAAAAAAAATGCACTATGTTAACATAAAGCTTGTCAAACATGAATGGTGTATGACTGCCAATATGAGAAATTTATATTATTCTTTCATTGTATTTTCTAAAATGCATTGAATGACTATATTTAAACTTATATCTTTTTTAAGAGTTGAACTTTAAATGTGACAAATGCATTAAGAACATAAGATATAGAAAAAGTTCATCTCATTTCCTTTTTTTTAATGCAATCGGCACATGCTAAGTTTGACGTTTGAAACATTTATCAAACTTTTCAACAAAATCAACATTTTCATACTTAATTATATATAGTAGGATACATCAACACATACGAACACAAGACTTGTAAAATGATACTTTAGTTATCAATCAAACTAAAACTTCATTCATTTGTTACTCCTAAATCTCAGCTGCACACAGAATTTTGTTTCAAATACAGGAAACCATATATGGGGCCACATGTTAATATACGTACCATACTATTTCTGGCAATGAAACAGGGGAAGTGGACAAGTAAGTGGCAACACATCCATATTCATGTTGACACAGTATGTTAAATTGAGGTTACCTTTTCATCCCACTCATCCCTACACAGCCCCCAGAGATGGCATTAAACTTCATTAAGTCCAAATTTGACCAATACATACTTTTTGGAATCATTTCAGTTTTTAGATGTTGCAGTGAGGTGTCATTCATCAAATGAATAGAGGGGTGTTTTGACCAAATGAATAGAAGTATTTATGCACTTTTACTTACATAGATATAATAATCTTTGTCTGTTCACATAGAAACCCTGGTATAACATCATTTGTGATCAGAACAAAAGTTGGGCCAAATGAACAATTTTTCTTATCACAAATGACATCATAGCCCTGAATCTATAAGTGAACAGACATGTGATATATCTATTTGCTTTTATAATACATCGGGAAAATTTCCAAATTTAATTGACAAAACGCTTGGTTCTTGAGATTGTTATATGTTTTAATAATATATATTGTTATCTGCAATATGCACTGTTTTATATGAATACAAATACTTTTATTAGTCAAATTGTCACGCAAATGACGAGCATAACGTCGAGAACCCCACCTAAAAAATCGCGCCATATGCAGCAACATGAAATGGATGTGGCCCTTTCACACGAACTTTATCGATGGATAATTTATGAATTTTAACGAATTCCCTTAATATACGCTAAAACTGATCGCATTTGTTTAGCAAAACGTTGAGTCATTTGATCAATTTAGATGGAATGTCTTCATGGGAGCAATGAAAAATATTTTAACACTCAGCAGTAGAATATTAAAAAACCATGTGATTCGAATTTGGAATTCATTTGTATTTCATTTATTTCAAAATATATTGAATGCCAAAGATTACAGAGATTATGATAGACTGATGCATTAGGGTGTTTACATGAACCGGAATGACTTTCGATCCGTAATGAACTCATTCCATTTAAAAAGAAATCCTATTGCATGTTTACATGAATTTAGTTTTAATCTCATGTAAACACGAATTGAGTTTCATTCTGGAATGATATTGTGATTAATGACGAAGCGCGCATGTACGATGTGTATTGTCTTCTGGGAAATTGAAGCTCGTAAGAAAATAAGGCGTCTAAATGGGCTAAAATGGCAAGTGAAGAAAGCAAAATTAGTTTCATGCAAGTATTGCTATATGAACTCAGAAACGAAAGAAAGAAAAGGGTTGTTATAATGTTTAAGTTCGTTATTCTCTAAAATTCAAAATTCTGCGAAATGTCAAATCTTGTGTTGACTTCCCATAAAAGTGGATTGACATCACGTTTCCGATTGGAATTGAAAGCCCGGTCTATGTAAACACCCCTTAATTTTGTAAAGATTCGATGTTTGATAGCTCTAATTGCAATATTCGACGTTAAACTAAAATACAATAAATAATGAAAAAATTATTTTACCTTATTGTTGCTTTGCCTTATGTAAACGTTTCTGCTGGCAATTGTTGAAATCAATGAACGGTAAAAGTTTTGCATTTTGCAACCGAACGTTCAATTTTTTGAATATACCTTCGAGCCAACATACGTATCGTTATCGCTTGAATCTGAATACTTGCTAGTATTCGTGAGACATGTGTCCCCAATTGAACGTTTTCGAACTCACTCGTCAGTAATGTACGGTGGCCGGTACGGGTCACGACAAAATAATTTAGAAAACATAACAAACAATAAGAAAACATCACTCAAAATCATACTACACATTTCAAAATACTCACTACACATTTCAAAATACTTCGCTACATTTCCAAAATACTCGCTACACATTTCAAAAATACTCCGCTACACATTTCAAAAATACCTACTACACATTACAAAATACCTACACATTTCAATACACCACATTCTAAAATTTTCACATTCATTGAGTTCTATAATAACTAGAGCGGCTATTTCCATGGCCTTGTATATCTGATGACGCTAAAAAATGGTGGATTTCGTCCTTTGCCGCTGGAGATTACTGACCAGCTTTTCCGAAAATTACAATTTCCACCTCCTGAGGAAAGAGTGAGAAAACATGTATTTGGGATCGGCAAGCAATTTTTGATGAAAATGAAGGTAAAAACCTTAAATTCATAACAGCGAGTGAACTGTGGTTGTTGAAGTTATCTGCTCTACGAGGATGCATTTATAACTATCGACGAAAGACCGATATGTCGGCTAAACATGTATGAATGCAGATGTGCGTCGTTTTCACCAGCGTCAAACTTGTTTGATCGATTAAACTTTATTCTATACAAAAAGTATATCATAGTTCATCTCCACGGTTCACGAGAGAGAATTAGCTTATTTGTTATCATTGCTATTTTGCTTCTTTTCATGCAATGGGCAATGGCTTTTTCGCCAAAATTGTAGGATTTTTACTTGTTTCTTTAAAAGTACATATTAAATCTCTGATATTTACGGATTTTCTGTTATTGAGTTTCATATGAAATTTCAAAAAGACTCAAGTCTGTATAGGTTTGGTAAATGAAAACAAACAATATTGTATAGAAATTACTTTGGTAACCTTTTGTGATGTTCTGAAGTGCAACTGCATCAAATACTTGTAAAGTTGTAGCACATTTTGATTTTGTTGTATTGATATATGAATTGGGCAAAATACAAATAATCATCAAAACACTTATGCTTCCAATGGTGTTTATAATTCATTTGTAGTTTTAATACTTCATCCTTCACTTTGTTTTTCATTTGCAATAAAATTGTAACTATAATTTGAATGATTAACAAAGTTTTCACCTCAATAATAAATTTCATAAGCAGTTGGTAGTGCATTTTGTTCTCTGAGTATCCACATCTGGTGTTTTGTTCATACAAGAATGATGAAGTGCAAGTAGATATGTCATAGCAAGGCAATAAAACCAAATGAATTACATACCTATAGTGTACTTTTATGCTAGAAGCTAAAAGCTTTTAGAAATTAGAAAGTTATTGGATTATATTACCTATCATCAATTTGATAAGAAATAAGAAGAAATTAGAAAAAGCTTTGAAAAGTGAAAACTTTTCAGCAATAATGCATATGATAAATCTCCACTCCTGTACTCTAATAGGTAAATAAGATCAAATTTTTCTTAAAGAAATATATAAGAAATATCAGTACAGTAACTTTAAAGGTTTCATCACTGAATCTTTAATGCTTCAGTATAGTGCATTAGATATTAGTAACATTCAAACAACACTCAACTAAAATATTTTGATAAAGATATGACATGATTTAAACATTAAGTTACATAAAACCCAATGGCTTATACAGTTTGAAGCTTAACATATGCATCAAGTCATCATCAATCTCAGTAACAAATGTTTCATAGACACAAACTTTATGGCCTTCCATTTTACATGTTTCAGAATTGACATTTTACAGCATCAAAACGCACACAACCTTCTTGCCATCTTTCTTTGGATCATGAACTTTAACTTCAAAGCATTCAAGGCATCCTTAGTGAATCCATTGTCTCCATCCATAGAATTTGACCATGATCAAATTAAGTAACTCTGGATAGGGTAGACAACAAATCAATTATCTTTACAGCATTATCATTTTTTAAGACTCTGCCTGGTCAATAACATCTTCAGTCATTTTACTCCTTGATCTTCCTGCATGTTGTCGCAAATAGAACATAACAAGCTCTGCTCCAAATCATGGGTACCGTAGCTGACTACTTTTGATACTTACTCACAGAGCAAAATGTGCAGGGTCTTTTTGTTTAGGGAAACTATTTTGCAAATAAATGGGTAAATTTACGATTTCATGCATTAACAAATGACAGAAAAGTATACAGAATTTTATAAACAAAACAGGAAAACATCAGTATATTTATGTTCAAGTCAGTCTTAAAAATACGATCTTTAATATGTATTTTATGGCTTTTCAAGTGCATGTATAATTGCTTTTCAATCGTTGACGGACTAACAAAACAAACAACTACCTCACCTGTGAGAAGCGATATGTTCCTTTTTGTGGAAACTACGACATCCAACAAATGAACGATTGAAGTGTTGGCAATATAAAAGAAATGCCAAAAAAGAATCGTCACAGAATATGGAACTAACGATATCCATATTCTGTGATATCGTGTTTGTTTTGAAAAATTTTTATAATTTACTTATAGACACCAGGAGGTCGAGAATATTATCTGCAAAGATCATTTCTAGCGGAAATACGTCCTTTGGCCGCCATTTTTTGGCGTCTCGCCCCAGTAAAGTTAGCCGCTCCAGTTATTATAGAACTCAATGTACACATTTCAAAATTCTCGCTACACATTTCAAAATACTCACTACACATTCGTCCCAGTCTTACCCTGGTCTGGCCTGCCCACGGTCGTCATTAGTTTGCCATCTACGAAATTGACGTGATGGCATAAAAGCTAATATAAATATTGTTTCCGATATTACCACACGAATATTGATGCTGAGGCGATATGTTGTCTATGGAATTCGGCACATAGACAAACATATTGCCACAATAGCATCAAAATATGCGATACGCGTACATGAACTATTAGTAATATTTCTTCCAGGATTTCTTGGTCTTCTTTAGACAACACAACATGAGTGGTCAATCCACAGATTACATGTAATTGTATTTGTATTGGTGATATTCGACAATCATTAGTTTAACTAATGCACTTATTGACGGACTGGTATTGAAGTTCTAAATTTATTGCGTTTACTCGAAATTACCGAACTTTTCATTTTGCGTTTTCGTGCAACAAATTATAGCACTATGTGTAAATCTCCTTGGTTTCCTTTGTTATTTTGTAACGCATCACACAAGTACACGCGACATAGCGAATACAAATTCATATACTCAAATTTTGCTATTAAAGTACGGACATGTGTCGAAAGCCACTGCAAACATTTGCTGGCGATATGTAGATTGGCTACTAATGTTGTTGCCCGACCAAGTCCAGCAAAACCCCGGAAGAATTTCTGATTAGAGTTGAGCCAATATTTTCATGCTATTATCCCAATGTCCCATTTGTTTGCCTTGTGAAATGCGGAATTATATATTTAATATGCTTACTATGATGTCAGCGTTTCTGTAGATGGAAACTAATGATGACCGTGGGCAGGCCAGACCAGGGTAAGACTGGGACGAATGTAGCGAGTATTTTGAAACGTGTAGCGAGAATTTTGAAATGTGTAGCGAGAATTTTGAAATGTGTAGTGAGTATTTTGAAATGTGTAGTGAGTATTTTGAAATGTAGTGAGTATTTTGTAATGTGTAGTGAGTATTTTCAAATGTGTAGTGAGTATTTGAAATGTGTAGCGAGTATTTTGAAATGTGTGAGGAGTATTTTGAAATGTGTAGAGTATTTTGAAATGTGAGTATTTTGAAATGTGTAGTATGATTTTGAGTGATGTTTTATTATTGTTATATGTTTTCTAATTATTTTGTCGTGACTCACCGGCCACCGTAGTAATGTCAGCGAAAATCATGAAAACATCAGTAAGTGACACACAATATTTTGCCCAAAACAAGCCACAACATTACCACAGAATAGATATATACAGAAGCGCCACTCGATGTCGAGCCTTTGATGTTCGTGTCCGCAACATCCGGGGAACTTTACACGGCAGCCATGTTTCCAGCCAGATAAATGCAGCCAGATCGCAATGTAATTTATAGTGCCAAGGACAAGTTTTAACCAAAAACTAAAATAGTTCACATTGGCAGTTTTGCGTTTCTCGAGAGAGACAGTAAATCGCAGGTCTTCTCATGTCATATCATCATCAATTCGATATCGTATTTGAAAATTAAGTGTTTGTAGAAACATTCAAAGTAGAACTTGAATACGGATGACATTAGTTTAAAGATGTTTGACTTATATATTTCCGACATTTCCTTTGGTGGTGGTAAAGTCACGATTTGCAAATTTGATCGCGTAATAGATACGCATTCGGACAAAAGCTTTAAACAAATAATTATGTGGGAACTCTGTACATACATCAACTGGTGAAATTGCCTGGAGGACTTTTAATATATTTGCCCCAACGTTGGAATTTTTCGTTGTAGCAGAAAAGCCATTGACGAAAGTATCTTCCAGTGTCTTTATGTATTCCAGGTATCTTCTAGCTGGGACATTCAACTCACCAAAATTCTTACTATCATATGATTTGAAATAGCAGAAAAGCTGTTGATCACTGTCAAAATCATTTGATGTCAAAATCTCTTGCATTCATCGCAGCTGTGCATCTTGAATGATTTTTTCAGCAAGTAGCCAGCAACATGTGACATTACTCTATGAATTTTGCAACAACAATGAGCTAACTCCGCTGGTTGCATATGATTAATTTATTATTAGACCAGATTCCACCAGCTAGATTCAGAAATTCGACTTCCTGCTTCTAATAACGAAAGGAAAGAAAATATTAAATAATTCACAACGTTAAGAGAAACTGTGAAATATGTATTTCCTAGGTGAAAGTGAGTCAAAAAGCGCTCAAATACTGGCAAATCGCATCGACAAAATATCTATAACAAATACAACTAAAACATGCAAATGAATGTAGTATTAAAGTAAAATACCTTTCAGCATTTAAATCCATCAAATGGTTCCCAAAGTCCACACAAATACAAGGAAAATAAACGCAAATATCAATGTATTGAAGAAATTGTGTTGTTTTCATTTGTTGACCAGAAAATAGTCGTATGTCACTATGTACTCGTATGTTACTCGTATGTACTTGTATGTTACTCGTATGTACTCATGTCACTCGGTAATGTATATTACTGTACGTACTGTATGTACTCGTATGTACTCGTGTGGTGTTTTAGTCACGATCCACTCTGGAGACCGTTTTCAAAAGTTTGCGGTTACAGTATGCGTTTTCACTGGATATGTGTGGACGATAAGCGTAACCGCAACAAATCCGACAAATACGAACGAATCCGATACGTGTGGACGGAGAGTGTTACTATTCACAATTAGATCAAGGAATTAGAAAAATAACAAGTTCTTTTAAATAATCACTTTAGCTTGATAATGACTTTGAAATAAAGTCGAAATATTGCTTTGAATCTTGTCTCTATTATATCTCAAACTTGTTTCTTACAAGATGATGCTTATTGAGTGCGGTTTTTTCATCATTTTTTGAAATAGTTTGTGCATAAATTAATTGAACGTTTGTTATAGTTTCAAACTTGACATTACTAACGGCTGACTTATTGTTACAGCGCATGCGTTAAGTTATAGAAAATGATTTAATAAACAGCCGTGAAATGTCGAAATTAGACAAGTATGGAAAGACGTTTGAAAACGTGAAACTCTATCGTTAGATATAAGACTTTGAATTGGTATTGGCGAGACGTAGTTTGTCTTTGTCGACTCGTATAGCGACACTTTGTTATTAACCAATGCTATCTTAGGTTACGCCTTAGCGACAATCAGATAGCTGTATTGTAACGTCAAGTTTTGAAACTATAGCAAACGTTTAATTTATGCACTCACGGTCAATTGCAAATGGCTGTAATATTTGCATTTAATCCATTTATAAAAAATAAAACAATAAAATGGATGCGGTGATTGGTCAAAAGCCGTTTGCAATAGCATGTGCAAAATCTGAGCTGAACCTATCAAATCAATTAATCAATCCAAGAGAATTTGCAAAATCAAAATATATGAAGCGTTTAAAAAATTATAAGAAATTCTTTACTGAAGTTCCAACGTCAATTCCTTTAATAGGAACGATAATAAGTTCGGATCATAACAACAATGACGATAATAATTTGAGAAGAAATGCTATAAAATGATTTAAATAAAATTATTATTCCTGCCTTTCACACTTCTGTGGGAAACATGTTTTGTATTTGTTGTTTAGGCTCTGTTATTATTATGAACTATAATTTCTTTAATTTAGCATAGGCATACTTTTAACAAACTTGTGCATTCACTCTTCTTATTTTACTGACGCAGGATAACCCTGAAATGAACATTATGATCTTATATGAAGATACAATATTACTTAAAATTATTTGGATGCACAAATCTTTGTAATAAATTTTACTGTATCCGAGTAATTAATTAGAGATGTTGTTTGAAGGAGAAGTCTGCATTACGATAATTGGCCCAGATCAGAGAGTTGTTTGAAAGGCAAAATCGAAAATCACTGTTCTTAATTAATTTTATATAAAAAATATTTACGAACTGAATATAACAGTTTTGCCAGAAAGAAAAATTTGAATCTGAAAAGATGCACAAGACAAAATAACATAAAATATCTTCATGTAAGATTCGAACATTTAAATTGCAAAAGTATACAATTTTAAAGTGTCATTTTATCGTTTGTATTAACATAATGTCCATCTCAGCTCATATCGTGCTGTTCCGTAAGGCAAAAACAAAGAACTTGCTATAATGACGTCATGTCATTTTAGTGATTTAAAGTAAATAACGATATAAGTCAACGCAGCTTGTTCTCATGAAATTATGTATCTTTTTTAATCAAACCTTACATACTCTTTCTTTAAAAATGCTTTTGCTCATTACAAAGTGTACCGACGACATATATTTTATTTTTGACATTATATATTTGCTGCAACAGCCAATCAGATTGCAGAAAGACTGATTCCGATGCTGATTTGTGAAACAGTTAACACCATGCATTGCGGCTGACGGATTGTAGAGGGGTGATTAAAATGTTGAATGTTAACAACGTTATTTTTTAAATCATGTAGAATTTTGTCAAATCATCAGAGTTTGCTAAAGAATTTGTCAATTATAGCTTGGGAAGAAAATTTGGCAAGAAAAAAGAAAAACCTCAGCAATACAGCAAAGTAACAATACAGTTAGCTTGAGAGACCACAATTATTCTCAAGCATAAGATCTCAACTTTAAGATCAATATTTTTTATCAGTCTATCATTTTTGATATGGAAGACGGCTAAAACGTTGACAGCTAAAATAAATAATCATTTCCGACTTAACATTTTCTTTTTAACAGAAAGATTTCTTTATTTTTAAACTTAGCCAAACAAATTTTCCTCGTTTAGAAAACAACAATGAGTAATAAGTTATTCAAGAGTGCATGTTACAGCCATGCCAATGATGATGAGTATGATTCAGATCATTCATCTCATACAGAATTCTCCGATAAGGAATGGTTCTGATGACAAACTCGGAAAGTGAGTTTCCTGAGTCTTCAAGACCAAGCATCCATGGACTCGCCTGATGAAACCTCCACTAACAGCGAAGTTTGAGTTCTCCAGCCCAGTCATCCAATTTGGTATCACCCAATAACGCATCACGAAGTATTCCAAATTAAATCATTGGGCAGTTTTTCCACTCACTTAGTCTTCGCCCAAATCATGCAGTGCTGACATACATAATGACTACACAGAGCCATCCACTCTACGATCGGTGGACAATCATTACTACGAAATGCTTAATTTCTTAGATCCTAACCCTAACCCTAACCCTAACCCTAAACCTAACCTTAACGCTAACCCTAACCCTAATCCTAACCCTAATCCTAACCCTAACCCTAACCTGTTCCTAACTCCTAACCCTAATTTTAAATCCTAATTTTAATTTTAAATTCGAATTTAATGGAATTTTAATTTTAATCCGAACCCTAATCTTAATTTTGAATTCTAATTCCTAATTTTAACTTAATTTAATTTAATCCTAACCCTAATCCTGATTCTAATTTTAATTCTAATTTCTAACTCTTTAATTTAACTTAACTTTAATTCCTTTAACTTTAATCTTAACTTCCAATTTCTAATATCAACTCTAGAACTAACCTTTAACTTTAACTAATCTTTAACTTCCTAACTCTAATTTTGAATTTTAATTTAGAATTTTAATCAGAATTTTGCATTTTAATTTTGAACTTTATTCTTAATTAGAATTTTAATTTAAAATTTAATTTTGAATTTTAATTTTAATTTTAATTTTAACCCCTAACCCCAACCCCCAACCCCAACTCCTCCCAACCCTAACCCCAACCCTAACTCCAACTCCCAACTCCCTAACTCCCAACCCTAACCCTAGTCCACCCCAACCCTAACCCTAACTCCCAACTCCAACCCAAACCTAACCTCAACCCTAACCCTAACTCCTAACCCTAACCCTAACCCCAACCCCAACTCCCAACCCTAACCCTAATCCCAACCCCAACTCCCAACCCTAACCCCAATCCCAGGTAACTCCCCTAACCCTAACCCTAACCCCAACCCTAACCCTAACCCTAACTCCTAACCCTAACTCCAACCCTAACCCTAACTCAACTCCTAACCCTAACCCTAACCCCAAACCAAACTCCTAACCCTAACTCCCAACTCTAACTCAACCTTAACTCCTAACTCCTAATCCTAACTCTAACTCCCTAACTTTAACCTTTAATCCCTAATTTCCCAATTTTAATTTCTTTTAATTCTTAATTTTAATTTTAATTTAGCCCTAATTAGAATTTCTAATTTGAATTTTAATTTTAATTTTACTTTTAATATTTAATTTCACATTTAAATTTTATACAATTTTATCTAGAATTTTAACCCTAATCCTAATTTTATTCTAATTAATTTAATTTTAATTTTAATATTTTAATTTTAATTTGAATTCCTAATTTAAATTTTAATTTTAATCCTAATTTTAACTTTTAATTTTAATCCTAACCCTATTCTAATTTTAATTTTAATTTTAATTTAATTTTAATTTTAATTTTAATCCTAATCCTAATTTTAACCCTAATCCTAATTTTAATGTATCCTAACCTTATCCTAATTTTAATTTATTCCTAACCCTAACCCTAACCCTAACCCTAATTTTCTCTTCGACGAAATTGGTTGGTTGTCTGATGGTGACGAGTCACCTCTTGAATTGTGACATTTGATATAACAATTGATTTATAAGACATTTAAAATAAATGTGAAAAGAAACGAAGTAGTTGTTGTTGTGGTTTTGGGCGTGTAGTTCGTTAAAGGACACATGCAACATAAAATTCGGATTGTTATTTTTGTACTTTACATAAAGGTATATCTCCAACTAATAGTTCACTAAAGTTTGAGACTCAAAGTATATATATTTTAGAAGATCTGGAGGTTTAAAGTTGTTGCTTTACTGATAACGTATTGAAAATCCCCGACGAGCTAACAACGGCTACTGATTGGAAAAAGGTCGTTGTGACGTAATAGTTGACATTAGTTTAACGCGGTCAATTGCTTCTGTTCAAAATATATTGGTATTTTCTTAACAACACGACAATTTAGCATTGAAAATATGGTTTATTGTGCCGCATTTAATTGTAAAAACGGTTCTTCTAAGAACCACCAAACGCAGCAAAAGGTTTCTTTTCGTTTCCCAAAACAAGCGAATGTGAGATATTGGATTGAAAAAATCCGACGCAAAATTTGAACAACAAAGAGCTCAAATTTGTGATCGCAACATTTAGAGAGTCGTGTTCGTGCAAAATTTTGAAGCGATGTAATAAGTAGGATGGACAGCAGGCTTCGCCTTTAAGAAGGATACTGTACCCACGATTTTTGAATACTCTGTGGAACCCACAAGTGTAGCATCTAAGAGGAAGCAGCCAACAAATGTTAGAACTGCATTTGAGAAGAGACGGTTGGATCAATGTAATTCATTTAATTCAATGAATTTAATTAAAATATTAACGTGAATAACGAACGTGAATAACGAATGTTGGTATGTAGTTAAGCCAACTCAAACTTGTATTTCATATAAAACGAATTGCGATCGTTTTCATGTAAACAAATTTAAAAGTAGGTACGTTAAGTGTACTTGTGGGTAGCTCTAAATCAGAGTAAAATAGTAAATACATTAGTGCAACTGCAAACTTCTTTCGGCAAAGTGAAATAGAAATCATCAAATTTCCAAAAACTACGAGAGGTTACCAGTATTTTATCAGTTGTCTAAAAGCTCATCGTATAATTGCAGCAACTTAAGGAGTCATTTAAGTTAACATTTAACTTGGTTAAAACTGATGAAGATAAGTTTATGAACTGTCTTACATTATGAACATTGCTCTGTAGAATTTTAATGAGCTGTCTTTGTAGTGTACGACTTATGAGCTCTGGTGTATGAATAGCACATGAACCGACTTCGTAGTTTAATTGCTTCCAATAGAGTAACGTCATGATGGCAGTAGACACGTTACTCTTCTCACATAGTAGTCTACTGCGCAACACCAAACTAAAAAAGCGAGCTGCCTTTACCACTTATCCGATAAAATAAAATTATACTAACAATTCGTAACATTAACACCAAATGCGCTTATATTAGAGAGATTATGAACACGACGTATCGCCTAAGACGTCGTGAAAATGACGTAAAAATGGCGTGATTATCCCATATTTGGTTTAATCCACGCCATATTTACGCCATTTTCACGGCGTCTTAGACGATACCTCGAAGAAGATTACGAACTTTGGTACCGAATGAAGATCGTCGTGTTTGCTAAATCTCTCTATTGTCTGGTTGACTTCTTTCTCTATATCTAATATTCGTCACGTTTTCAAAAGAGCAGTAAGCTAATTGTCATTCAAAGATTATTGATGTGTGTACTACGTAACTAATGCACATTGATGGTGGAGATTAAGTAGAATTTCTTGATATACTTTTCGACAGATCCCAAAAGCAATGTAATTGATTTAATACTACATCCTGTTAATGCATGTTTTATTTTATGAAAAAATGTTATTCCACCAACAAACAGTGAAAAATTGTGAAGCCCTTGCTCTTATTAAAACAATCGTACATTCATTCTTTTGTTAATTTTTTTGCATGAAAATTGATCGTCGACAACAACACTACACCAATTAGAAGAAACTATGTCGTAAATGGACTCATTTGAACTTCACTGAGTCGACTTTCAGGGCATCTCCAAGCATTTAAAATTTCTTCCGTACTTACATCGGATTGATGACGTCTTAGTACGTCAATTGACGTCAAAGAACAACACAAGAGTCAAGAGAAGGTACGTTTGTGAATGAAAAGGCTATCAATATATCGTTAAGACGAAAATTCCTTTACGCGTTACAACATTCAACTTAAGGCAATAATTTTTCCCAGCGTTTGCATAGCCACTTTCCCTTTTCACAAGCTTATAAAAACCGAGTTTATGATCTGATCTGCTCGAGAGTTCTAACAAACGTCTCCGCGATTTGCATATGTCAGAGCAAATATGAATAATATTTTTCCGTCTTTTTATAATATAACAATAATGCGAACTGAGGGTTTGATCAATTTGCGCACACGTTGTATTGTTAATTTTCATACCATTTTATACCATTTCATATCATTTAAACAGAACAAAAATTATGAAGGGGGTGGGGAGGGGGGTAGGGAGTGTCATACCCCGAAAAAGTTATTTGGATTTGCAGTCGGTAGAAGTAGGATATACGGATTAGTCTGAAGAAAAAAGATTTTTTGACCACTAAACAAAACATTACATGAACAGTGTCACAGTACGAAGAGAACTGGGTCGATTACTGTGTGATTACTTTGAGATTACTGCGATATTAATTAATAAAATAACACATCCTTGAAAATTGTCTAGGTTTTGTCCTATAGTGTATTCGGTACAAGTACGTTGACCAGTTGTTCGAACGGATTACACACCCCTCCCCCCTGATGAACTGTAAGGACGGCCTGCATTTAAATTTAACTTTCAAAAATTATCAGTAATACATTAAGACTTGTATTAAGCAGATGAAACTTTAGACCACGTTAAAACGGAGGAAAAAATGAACTAACCTTTGATCACCAGCTGTTGCGACAGGCCATCGTCATCGACAGTTTAAAGAACTTGAAACACAGGCCAGCCATGTACAACAAAGCCATAAACAGAAAACATTTCTCAAAACACTATTGGGATTTTAAAACGTTGATAAATAATTTACATTTGACGACTTCACTATGTCTTGCAGCTGCCAGCAAGTAAATCAGGAAAAACATTCTTACAAGCAAAATTCTCAAATGATGCAACGCAAAGCGCGCAACGTATTTATATAAGAAGGTCCCACTACAAAGCAAGGAAATTGAGTTCAAGTACTTTTGAAGGACTTTCAAGGATGTACTTAAAACAATTGAAGGCGAGTAAAAATTAATATTGCATGTAAAACACAACAACAAAAGAGCTCAATATCAAAAATAAAGTCAAAGAACTTTTTCAAATTAATGTTGTCTTTTCATTTGACGTGAGCCGCCATGTTTGTAGATTAAAATGTTAACTTTATTAACGAAAAGTAAACTAGACACAGAAATTTGACCGAAACACTTAAAATTCAAGATCTTTAAGCACCACTTTATAAATTTATGACTTTTTAAGGACAACGAAGAGTTGTACAAACCTTGTTGAACTAAGTATTAAAACAACTTCATGAATTCAGCCTTGTTTATACACAACAACTCACATTTATCTCAAATTACATACATGAATGTACTAACGTAAAACGAACATGAGATGAATTATAAAAAATAATTCATGAACCATTAAACCCTTACCTGAACAAGAAGCCAAGTGTGTGCAATATTTTGCCATCGCTCGCCCTCAACCATATACTGTGCACATGTTCTTTAAAAAGTCGACAAATTACTTCAGAAAAACATATCATCCAGATTTGTTAAACGACGTATTTTAATTCAACTGACATAAGTGAAGTTTTCCCGTAAATTAACCTTTACAGTTTACACAGATACTAATAGGAAGATGTCGTTTGTATTTGAGAAAGAAACCAGCATAAAGTTAACATGAAGTACTGCCTGAGGCTGTGTTGCCACTCCTATTTTTTACATTTTACTATTTTGAGGAATGGTGAATACGTTTTACTATTTTGATTTCCATTTCAGTGCGATGTTTGTAGGGTTTGTTTAACATTGACCTGACGTGGGTTGCTAAATATCAACTACAAAGATAAACTGTTCATTCTTTATAGGTAAAAATATGGATAACAAAAAACAGGGTCGGAATAAATCCATGCAAGACAAGAGTTTTCACAATTTTGAAACTGATGTCTTTGGGTAGGATAACACGCTCTAAAGTGCCTGACTCATTTACATATAATTACATGTGCACTAGAAGAATATTTTCATACAAGTGTCCTGTAGAGTACAATAAGTTGTCTAAATTTCATTCATGGGTTTTTCTAAAAAGAAGATAAAATTTCTGAAAAGACGATAATCTTTTCAGCAAGTCGTTTAACAATAATTACTGTGTTAAGTATTTATCCTTCTATAAAGCCTTCCCTTATCAAAGTTGTCTCCAGCCCATATGTGCATAAAGCATTTGCCATGGCAAAGCCTTTTGAAAAGATTGCAAATACGATAATGAAGATGATCTTTTTCATGGCAGAAATTCAGATGGTAGCATGTTCCAAATACAGCATTATGTCATCAACACATTGATATATATAAGGTCAGTGTGTGGTATATATCACGATAATTGTCACTTCATCAACATTCAAGTATTAAGGCAAAAAAGTGGCCGCAACTGCGGCGTTTATTTGTTAACGTTTGCATAATTGTCTTGTAGAGATTGGATATTGTTAAATATGTAAATAATGTAGGCCAAGAAATGTCCACCATCAAGATTTGTGGAGTTATTAACATGCGAGGTTCACCACAATGAAGCACACGGGATTCGTGATACACTAACAACCATTACAGAGCATTTTGGATAATCCGTGGTCGAGAAGCAGTAAAGAAAATCGTCAGGAAATGTGTTGTTTGTCGTAAAGCGGAAGGTCTTCCTTATGGGGAACGCCTCCAGAACTTCCTGTTAGCAGAGTGTCAGATGATCCCCCTTTCACAAACGTAGGTTTGGACTTTGCCGGACCGTTGCTCGTACGAGAGAGTTTCAAAAGGAATAATTTGTCGGATATACCAACGAAAGTTTATATTCTATTGTTTACGTGTGCGTCTACTTGAGACATTCATCTGGAGCTCACTCCTTCCTTAAGCGTTCCAGCCTTCGCGCCCAGATACGCTAGTCGACGAGCACTGCCAGCTCTTTTTATATCCGATAATGCTAAGACTTTTCGAGCTGCATACTTAGAAATTCGCAAGTTATATCGTTCTGAGGAAGTGTTACGCTATCTTCCAAACCATCAGATTACATGGCAATTTATGGTCGAAAAGGCCCCTTGGTGGGGAGGCTTCTGGGAAAGTTTGATTCGAAGCGTGAAACGTCCGTTGCGAAAGGTAACTGGCAGAACCAATCTATCCTACGACGAGTTGCAGACTATTGTGGTGGAAAGCGAGGGCGTAATAAATGCACGACCCCCTAACCTACGTGTACGACGATGAAGAAGCTGTATCTCTTCCGCTAAGCCCGTCGCACTTGGTGTATGGAAGACGAATAACGACCATGCCAAACAGTGAGCACTTTGAAATTCAGACCACCTATCAATCTTTGACGAGAAAGGCGAAACATCACAAAAATTTGCTGCAACGTTTTACTCTTCAATGGAGAAAGGAGTATCTTTCAGCCTTACGAGAGCAACACACTTCAAAATCAAGAGGTAATCAAAATCCCGAAATAGCAGTTGGAGATATCGTAATTATTCGCAACGATCAAACAAAACGTATCTTTTGGAAGGTAGCGAAAGTTGAACAATTGTTACAAGGTGACGATGGAATTACACCAGCTGCACAAATCAGAGTCCTTCGTGGAGACTCTAGTCATTCACACTTGTTGCGACGTTCTATCAGGCCGCTTATTCAATTGAAGTCTCATCAGAAGACAGTAACGAAAGAGTAGAGAGCGATAAGAACGGCGAAGAAGAACAAGTGCTTCGTCCAACTGATCGACCACAGCGCAACGCGGAATAACAGGACAGTTGCAAGATTGCAGAATACAAACAAGCTCTACACAACTGTATATTCTTAGCTAAAAATAGTTTTATTTTTTTGTTTTGTTTGTTGACAACATTTTACTATGTCAATCCTGGGGAGTGTATGAAAGAAAACATGTCAGTCATACGTCAGTAAAATATACATCTTGTTTATTTAGTGAAAAAAGATTTGTGAGTGTATATTTCAAACGAACATTAAACAACTCAACAATAGGTTCTGTGCCATGGCAAGACATGATTGTAACATCACGACCCTGTGCGTTTGACAGACTTGTAATAGGTGAAACAGTGGATTGACATACACTCTTAATGGTTAATTCAGCATTAATCAAAACACTATATTCCTTTTTGTAATAAATATACTTTTGTCCTCACCATATCAACATATTTCACAATAAAATTTGAAAGAAATATCAATATCATAGTTTTTATATGGGATGACGCTTGAAACCTGTACTTAGTTTACATACATATTTTACTCACATTTGCATTTTCATCCTCTTCCTCAGATCCACGACAAAATAATTCACCTGCTTCACAAGCTTCTTAGGCTGCTCATTAAATGTCGGATCCAATGTCAACTGATTAAATCTCAAATTTCTGTACACTTGACAACTTCAAAAAGCAACGTTCTTGCAAAAATGAAACAACATTGTATTTCACAACGCCATAGAGAATGATCCTCAAGCAACTTTAAACTTTAACTTCCACATTTACGATGAATGATTCAACTTGCTTTACGTTTGTGCTGTTAGCTCATCATCTCAGAGTTAATCGTGTCTAGAAATGTTTAAAGTTTGCAACTCCACAAAAATTCAAACATCGCTGGTCACTCTTTCTCAGATATCATTACAAACCCCCACACAGTTACAATAAAACACAAGTGTATGAAAGCAAAGTTATCATGAAAATAGCATGCAAAAATATGAATTTTAAATAAAGTAGAAAACCAAACCTTGGATTCTCACTTTTGACGCAAACACTAATAAAAACTTCTTTATTGTTTATGCTTTCACGTTTTGTGTTTTGTATTATAACTAGTTCGGGTACAAACATTTGTCTGCACAAATATCGTCAAATTACTCTTTCCGGAAAACGTCTTCCATCGTATAATCGCTAACAGCCTCAGTTCCTAACTGAAGATCATAAGCAGGAAATGAAAATGGTGGGATATTTGCCGGAAAAACTCTCATTGCAAATTTAAGACACATTCAATTTTTTACATTTCAATCAGACTTAATGTTAAGTGTGTATCAATTGCTAACTAACGGCTTACCCATAATGAAATGAAGCAAAACTTTAAACCAAGACACTTCTCCTTGACACCCAAACATTCAAGGACGAGAAAATCAAATAGAAACTAGTGTATCGTGCTATAGTCGAGAACCTGTATAAGAGTTTGATGCACTTCATTTACCGGAAGTAATCTCAACTGTTTTGAGTAAATTGACCATGACGAAAAACATGGCAAATGTGCCATTTTCAAACAGGTACGAAACTCCTGAAATCAAGACGAACAATAAAATTACACAATAAAAAGAAATCACATGGTGTTCAGAGTGCTTACAAAATATAAATGTTACTTTTCCTTCAAGATTGTGGATTTTTGTAATGTCCTTTAATTTCAATCTAAGTGACATCAATACCTTTAAGTTCTATCTACGTTCTTTGTTGTTTTCTCACTAGCTTTCATCCCTAATATAGCTCTTGTCAACATATCCGATTCTTATTAATTATAATTACATATTAAACTATTAAGTCATTAGTATTAAAGTATATGTTTCCTACAACTTTAATGTAAAAAAATTGATAAGATTCTACGTGTAAAAGATGTAATTGTAGCTGATGATCTCACCTTGTGAACCATTCTTTACGTACATATATATATAATGGGATGTTCCCAAAAGGAACAAATACAGGATGTATCAAAAACAGTATTATAAAATTCAACATATTCTGAAAATTTAATTTCTCATCATAATGTCCCACTAAATTCTAGGAGACTAATGATGTGCATGAAAGTTTTGATTTAGATTTGGAATACTGCAAACTATTCAAATCAGCAAATGAACTTTCGAATTATGTCTATTTATACAATTAGTTGTATTGTTATATAGGTGCTGTGTTTAGTAATTGTGATTGGTTCATTAGTAGTCACATGACTTGAAATATATGGACGGTTTACTGCCAGGAAAACAAGTGAAAAGGTGTTGCCCGCTTATTTTAATATCATAACGAATAAAAGAGCCACCAAACCGAAAACTAAAAACCGTTTCTCGAGCTTATTAAGCGACGAAAATCAACTATTAATAAAAAGAACTAAGAAAACACTCGGAAGTCGACCTAAAATGCTGTGGTCACCTATAGTACTTGCAACGGAATTTAGCCTGCCGAATCTCCCAAGGAAATTTTGATGTTGAAAAGCTGTCAAACATTTACTCTTTTCCCTAAATAACAAGACACATTCTGTATGCTCCAAGGAAATAGCAAGATTTGTCCCCTGAAGGTTTCAATATAGATTCAGTGTAGGACAAATATGAAAGCTATTTAATACACGATATAATCAACACACATATATTGTAACAATTTTGCAGAAAACATATTGATACAACGATTATCTTCTACATTAAAATACTAATATGATAAAACTATGTTAACACGTCTTAAAAAAGCACAGTGCAAAAAGAAAGTTCATCCTTACATTATTTATTATAAATGCTAAATGAATGAATCTTAACAAGTCTTTAAAATACTAACTCCAATTGTTCTATTTTGATACAATACGGGTATTTTTCAACTTGATTTACAAAATGACAGTTACCCAAAAATGATGTCTCTGAATAGTGAGAAAGTTATTATATACAACTATTCAATGCTAATTTTAAAAAATATTATTTTTCACTTCAAGATACGATAACTCTTTTTTAAAGCACGAGGAATCTCATTCTTCAAATGGCAGTTGGCAAATTACTATTAATACAAAAATTGGAGTTGAGTTATGGGATTCATTTATTCATAGCATTTGAAATTTAAAAGGCAAAACGTAACTATACTATACGTAACAATGTACAACAATATGAAATAAAAATGATCAAAAATCGTTCAAAATATAAAACACACTGGATTTATAAATGTGACACTCTTGCAAAACAAAGACGATGAAATTTTACAAACTTCATTCTCGTAACTTGATGTAGTTCTTACATGTTGAAGTCATTTTGTTGTGAATGATTTGTTGGCCATTATATGAACTAAACTGATTACTTTTATTCTACAACCATCCATAGTTGACGTTTGCTTTGAATTTTCATGACATGTTGCTGTTATGATCTATAACCTGTGTGATTCATAGCACACAGGTTATAGTATCATTCAAGTACATAAATATTTCAGAGCATGAGAAAGGCGATTAACTGTTATGATTTTACGATGGCAGGGATTAGATGAAGAACTGCTTCAATTAATGATGCAACTCCAAAAATCACTTTAGCATATTCTAATAGCCACAATGCAATAAAATCAAATTCTTTTCATTCACTCTCATGATTACTTATATGTTCACATCAAAACATCCATTTGAGATGATAATTTTCACGCTTCAGTTTTATAAAATGTGAACAAAGTGAACAACAAGCTTCACCATTTTAAAATGTAAAAGTTCACATCTTCCAATTTTGACAACAGATGACATTTCAAAAACACGTGACCCTGACGTTACAAAGTACAACAATAAATCCACAGAGAACCATGGTACATAAATTTGTCATTTCTTTCATTACGTAACTTCCTGAAATAAAGGTTCTGTTTCTTGTATTAATGTTTGAATTAAGAGTTGACGATGGAATTTTACAGCCGCCATAAACATATCAAGCTTTGGCAAAGTAACTTGTAGTATGTCCACTGATGTTTGAGTTGATGTTGTTAAAAATTATTTCCACAAAATATCGATTCACAAAGTAAAAGTGTTCAAACTTTAAAAATGCTTGATATCAATTTTCAGTAAAAGTTAAAAACTTGTCATTAAACATCTTTCCATGTATGACATTGTCCTTTGTTTTCTTTCTCTATATTGCAAAACTTTCTTGACTTTGTTAACTTTTCCTGTTCATACAGTAACACATGGTTTGGAATGTTCATTCACAATGGTTAAATTGTTTATAAAGATGATGAACGTCAATCATGAAGTCATTTTCTTGTGGAGTTACGATTTACTTTTTCACAATCAGTGACAAAGACAGCCAAATTTTAGTTTTTCTTGAAAAATTAGCAAAGGTACCATTTTCTATTATAAATTTACGTTTTTCAATTTGATAAAGATCAAAATATTTATATAACCGAAGAAGCAATTGGGCTGACTTTGTCTCTTAACAACTTAACTCGTAGATATTTTGTATATCAAAATGCAATAATTAAAAAGTATTAAGAAATTATTTCAGTGCAAGATAGTACTGATTTAATTAGTAACAACTTGTTTTTGGTGTAAAAGAATATCGAAAAACGTGTAATATTAAAACTATCCTACACTGAATACATTTGCATACACATTATATGTTTGTGGTGTAGATATAAACAAAATATAACCTATGGTACAATAACTAACAACAGTTTGCATTTTATATGTTTGTGTGATAAGATAAAAGTCAATAAAATTATTTTCTTGTGCAAGGTAAATTAAAAAAAATTCGGATCGTTCAGCCAAAATTGTTCCATTGTTTATCATGATGGTCAAGGCAGATTATTAATTGTTTTCTTGAATGCAATTTTCTTATTTCACACTCAGGCGAAGCTATTCCAAATTGGTAGTTCCAAAAAACTTGGTAAAGCTACAATTCATTTTGTTAATGACTTAACGACGTTCATAAATGATCACAAAAATATTTGTACAACAAAAGTTTGGGCCAGCTTCGTCTCTGTTAGTTAGCTATAATATCTTCATTGATATTTAGGTATTTTACTATCAAAAGCGAATATTACCATAACTTTTCATTTATTAAAGTATTAAAATTATTTTAGTGCAAGATAGTGTTGGTTAACAATTTGTTTTTAACGCAAATAACTAAAAACGTACAATATGCAAAATTGAACCATCTTGCACTAAAACATTTGCAAGGTAATTATGCACAACTTCAAATTTTTCTTTTTAATTTTCTAGTATATAAAAGTTTTTTTTTAAGAAGTGTTTTCCTGTATATAAGTTTAGACAAAAATTGTTTTCATTTTTATATTATTGTCTTGAGAGCAAAACATTCTGAAATTGCCCACATTCAGCGAATGGAAAATCAACGAAACCTACTTAGGTTTGCAAACATACGTCTATCCAGAGAAAGAATTTCATAAAAATACTGTTTTTACAATTTGGTTGTTCTAACAGATACCTTGTTTTGTCAATTCACTGCACTGGTCAGATCACTGCATCGGCACCGCAGAGGTCATAAATACCTTATTTTGATGATAATGTTAACAACTAGATCATGCATAAAACAAAAATTAGTCAATGAAAGATGCAAATTCATCATTAATGATTTAACAAAGAAGAACAAAAATGACGTTTGTTAGATAATGATTTTCCTCAGAAATAAATGTTGTTTTTTACTATATCTTAGCAAGCATACATATAAAATGCAAATTATCATGTGAGTTCTTCTACCATTCCAAAATATTTGATGTAAAATTAATATAGCAACAATGCTTTAACATATAGGAAGAAAGCCTAAAAAAGCAGTGGACATAGAAGTACGAAACAGCAATGCTCAGATATATTTTGATTGACAACTAGCTACCAATAATTTGATGGCGTTGTAGTAGAACTTTTTATAATAAATCTGTGTTGTCGTTGAAGTAAATTTCTCCTCATGTTTAATTTTTATTGTGTTTAAACACAAAATTCGTTTGTGTGTGGCCCTGTTCTATATTGTTATTTAAGTTTCATTTTTTATTTAGGAATTTTAGTTTTTATTGGTAATCGCCCTTATTGTTGATACTGAATATTTTACACTTACATGTGTCATTGCAATTATGAATTGCATTTTCGATTATTTTAAATTTTGTTAATGACTTACTACTTTACCAATAACGAACAAAAATGATGTAAATTTAAGTTGTTGCACAATGAAATCATAATACCCGAAATATGATCACCAAATAAATGAGATGTACTTTCAGCTAATGTAGTTGAGATGACGATGAAATTTATTCTCGGGCAAGATGATTTTGCGCAATTTACTGGGACTTGTAGGTCAGTAAATAAGGTAAAGGCAAGTTGGCTTTTACGACAAAAATATAAAGTTTCTAAATGTCTTCCAAAGCTTATTGACAAAGGGTAATCTAATTTTATTTCTTAAACACTTCAAATCAATGAGCGTTAAGCTACTACAAATTATAAATCTATCATCAATAAAGACAAACTTACCTGACAAATTGAACTCATCTAAAGTATAAATAACTTGCATGGTTTTAATGTGAAAGACTTTCATGAACATAAACTTGTTACTTGTTAATAATTTATCAGCTGATGGTGAAAAATCTGCGTGATTTAACTTATGATTTCTACGCATTAGCTGAAGCCGGCCTCCAGCTAAGGACTTAAACTTTATACCACTCCAACCATCAACTAGTTTATCTTTGTGCCACAAATAGTAAGTTTCTTTCTTTCTTTCTTTCGTTTTCGCAAACACGTGATACTTAGAGCTACATGCCAATACGTGCACATTTCGATAATTTTCAAAATTCATTGATATTTCTTTTCGCTTGTTTTCAACATTGAAAAACACAATAGAATCAGTTTTTTGACAAGCAAATGATACATCACTTACCTCAAAAATTTTGTTTGTACCTTTTAGTTCATCGAAACTATAAATAAGTTTTGTCAAATCATTATTCCAAAGCTCAGGAATGGCTTTTGCCGCAAGCAAAATGACTCCATTTTCTACGGCAACCATGCCATTAACAATACGTTCCTTGTTAACAAAGTCTCCTGTAGTGAGATTGTTCACTATGACGAATGACGTTTCTTTATCTCTCCGATACAGAAAGTTGCCATTTGAGCAAACTATCTGGTTATCAAGAACCAAAGATTTTGTTAAAATTGTGCGCGCCATTAAAACAAGATGAGAAGCATGTCCATAATCAAATAAAAGTATATTGTTATCATTCAATAAATAATAATGATATCCTGTGAAATTAATCAAAGAAACGCCTAACATGTTATCATCAAAGGGATCAAGCGAACACAAACCAAGTGTACGCTCAAGATCTAACCCAGGAAGTGCCTCTTGACTAGGATTGACAATGAAAACTTTCTTACTATGAGACAAAGCACAAGACCAAGAATGAAGACCAACAGTGGAAAGAATACGAAACTTTCTATCATAATAGCGATAGCGCTTTGCATCATTTTCAAAAGGTGAACAATCGAATAACTTATAATCCTTCGTTACGTCAAATGTTTGAAATACGTTTTTTTCATCAATGACACCCAAATATTTTTTTGAATTGGAAAAACACAGGGATGTCACATTGCTGCATATAACACTGTGCATCTTCTCACCTTTCTCAACGTCCCATACAGTCAAAATATCTTTGTAACTAGTGACCATTGTGTACTTATCCTTGGAAAAACAACTGTTAGTAAAGAACTTAGAAGTTGAATCATCACAATGAAAAGGACTAGAGACAACTTTCCTGTCAACATTTAGAACTTTATCCAATTGGGAAACGAAGATCAGATCGGTGAAAGGATGAAAGACAACGCAAAATGCTTTCAATTCACTTAGACTTAACTGATCGGATATATCTTTTATCCATAAACACCTGTTTGTTGTCAGAGAAAAAAGTTGCACTATAAACCCTTCATAACCACAGACGACATAGTCATAATGTCGCGATACATTTACTGAAATCAAGTTTCGCGCTAAACGTAAAAATGGAGTTAATACAAAACGCGTATCAAGGCGCTCAACATAAGAAGACTCTCTGAAACGTGTTTTAAGCATTGTGGAAGCTTTTGGCGCAAGATCTTTGATTTCGTTGACAACATACTGCAAAAAAATTATGGAATTCAAGAAACTCCTCGTAATAACACAATAAATGTCATTAAATAACAGTCGAGTGCCCTCAGAAAGATGAAAGTATATGTTATGAGAGCTTATCATACGAAAGTTTTCCAAAGTACGACGTCTATCAATCGATACAGAGGCAAGTAAAACATCTAAGTCAACAAGATATTTACCAACATATTCAACGACTTGATCATTATCACAAATAGCAAGCATATGAAGAAACCAATATTTGACTGAATACATTACTGATGCCCGCTTAACAAAGTTATTGTAGTCCACGTCGACAGCTTTGAGATTGTCTAAAGTTCTTGAACAAAACGCTAAAACAACTCGATTACCATCAGTAGTATTAACAGAGTAATTATGTTTACACTCGCCAGCCAGCCAATCAGATAAAGATTTGTGGAAAAACGACACATGTCCTTCTTCATTGGTAGTAAAAAGGCACAACATAATTTCTCTAACCACAGATGAAAGGCAATTGAAATCAAGTATGTCCTCAACTACTTCCCAAGGAAGGGGTTCTTTAGCAACTGCTAATGCATTTAAAAGTGACTGAAATTTTTCTTTACTGATTTGAAATGAATTTAATTCGTCACTTATTCTTTTTAAGGAAATTTCGTAATATTCATTGAGATCCTTTGGTATGTATCCATTGAACGAATCCTGATTTTAATTTATGGAGAGAGATGCAAGCAACATAAGTCCGTCAGACTTTTCTAGCAAATTTTCCTTAAGATGCAAACTCTGTTAGTGGACCAATTCTTTCATCAATTAGTAATTTTACATCATTCAAGTTATCATCATCACTGAAATTGATGAAGAGCGGATTTAGTTTTCAAATATGATATGACAATCTTGTTAGGTCTTGTTGTGATTACAGTAGAAACAAGGCGGAAGTTTGAACAAATGATTATCTAACAAATCAGCCAGGAGAAGGCTTTCTGGATAATCACATTCATCTAGCGCATCCAGCATAATTAAAGTCCGCTTAGGAAATTCCGTGATTTTTTCAAACAACTCAGTAAAAAGAAAGGAAAATAGTCTTTCAACATTCATGTCACGCAGAGGCTCTGAGACATTACTAAGTTTCACCTCTAAAAGTTTTTTGTAAGCAGGAAAGTTACGAGCAATTTGCCTAGCTAAAGATTGAAGAAGTACATTGGCATCATTGAAACGACTGTCATTGTGTTGAAAGAAATGAACTGCGGCGAAATAGCTTGGATAACGTTTACATAAAGTTGCTGCAATTGCAGACTTACCCATTCCAGCAACAGCAGAAATAACAAATGCACGATTTTGAGAAGTATTGTCTTCAAACCAAGCCAAAAACTCATCAAAAACCCATTCCTGTGTTCCAAAATGTTTCATATTGATTACTAATCACACTCAAAAAGTACAACTTACAAGGTTTTGGTCAAAATATCGGTTCCAAATACAAAACCGGCGCTTAACTGTTGTTTCAAGCCTACTAGACATAGAATCGACTGAGTTCTTTCTTGGTTTAATTGATCTATTTTTTGCTGACTTATTCTAAACGAACTATTGGTTGGCAAACTTCCTTCCACAAAGTCTCAAAGTCAGCTAAATGATGTGTTAGGTATGTGAGCATAACACTCATTACGATATAACCTGATACGGGTAATATCGGCTTCGGTTGAATGATCGGTGGCATTAGGTTTGTTTGTCCAGATAGGATTATTCGGTTGTTTTAAATTGCAAATAGTGCGCAAAAGGACACAAAGTAGAGTAATGTCAAAATCATTTTCATCAGGTAGTCTTGGAGGATCTGGATACAAAAGAATCCATGCATCGTGCCTGATTATTTTCTTCTTTATTCTCAAAAGCTTATTTCTATTTTTAGTGGTATTCAAGAAAAAGAATAATTCAGTACCTGACATTTGTTTTCTCAAAGTTATTCTCAAAGCTTCACCACCATGATCAACAATCAATTTCCCCAACATAAAAATGTTTACTTTTCTGACTTGAAGAAGAACGCCATGTCATCACCGGTAGCTAAGAAAACAGCTTACAATTTAATGACAGATTTTGAATGACTTACAATTACATCAAAGACATATATTTAGAATAATAAATAGTGATTGATTGAGAAATACTAATTATAGAATCAAACATTCTTTTTCAATGTGTGTAGTAGGGATTTGAAACTGTAAAGGAGAACTACATCTCACAGAATGTTGGTATTAAGTTGTATTTGTATGCAAGGGTTACAAAATATATTTTGAGATTATGAAATCAGGTGCTTCATTTTGAACAAAACCGCATCTTCAAGTGCTTCATTTGAGCTGTTTTGAGGCTTAGCAGCGTGTGCGCTGATGGAAATTATTTGACGTCATATCGTCAAACCAATTTCTACGGGACTTGATGCCAAGATATAAAATTTCCGATTTCCAACTTCCTGTGTTCAAAATTTTGACACTTCCGAGATGCAAATTTCCGACTTCCTTTATACAAATGTATTGTATAAATCCTTTTCCAACCAACAATTTCAAAAAATAAAGGAAAAACACACTCCAAAAAACATCATCTGGTAAACTCAAGATTCGAGTTATAAAACCAAGAGACAAGATTCAAAGCAATATTTGACTTAATTCAAAGTCATTATAGCTAAGTCATTGTTTACAAGCATGCGTGATCTTAAATAGTTGTTACAAAGAAATGACGTAAGCAACGAAAAGAAAGAAAGGCGATGAAAGGAGGTGTTACTGTCTAGAATTACATCAATGAAATTAAAAATAATAGCAAGTTTTTGAAGCCTTTGGTCCAGCATTTAGCTGAAGCTTTTTGAAACATATAAATCCTCAAGGGCCTTGCTCATCGCCTTGCCTTTCCTTGATGCTTAACAATATGATGACCCTTTTCATTTTCCACGTCAACAAACGGTCGATCTTCATCATTCGCGATAAACATTTCGGACATATTGCGAGTTTGAATGCTATTTTCGAATCTTGAATCCTCCTCGCTCATTAATTTTCAAGATATATGATAGATGTATAGAGCTTCGTTCATTAGAAGCTCCACCAGCGAAATCAAACATATAACGACTCGAGGAGATAACGAATAAGGAGACTATTTCTGATCGACATTCTTGTATTTTCAGAAACGTGGTGAAGACTAACAGTATATAATATTGCAGGACTTGTGGTTAGACCAAATGGTAGGCGTCGGAACTTGTATTTCTTTAGCATCGGTGAACTTTGTTAATATCGTCAAACCAGCAAAACTTCAGCATCTTTCTGTCTTCG